TCAGATTATAACCTTTCTCATTCTCTCCATTGTACAAATAGCAGTTGGTGAAGAGAGTGTTTACTTTGTCTGAGCTCACCTAATAAATACAGCACAATTTGCATGGCATATTTTTCCAATTTACATTCCTTTGCTGTTATCACTAGGTTATGCTGCTGGACCTCTATGGATCAACTCTTCAGGCCCTGTTACTTAGGGGTAAGGTCTTTGTCTGCCCATCTCAGCTTGGCTGGTCCTACTCTCACCTGGCAGCACTGTACACCAGCTTGACTGGGAATGTGGGTTGAGAAAGCTCACCTTTGCGGAACCCAGTGCAGAGATGCAGCTTGAAAAGTTAATTATGCCCTCTTCTGCTTTCAGGTTAGGCAACCAGTGCTTTCTGTAGTCTTTACTTTTGCAGTCTTCCCTTAAGGAAGTAGAGCATCTGAAGAAGATGCCAGCCAATGGAAAAAGTACTGAATTGTGAAGAGAAAAACATCTCTGTCATCCTTTTGAATACTTAAGTTTACATGCACCATTTGACTGTGTTGCTGTATTTTTATAAAGCATTAGAAAAAGCAGCCTTTCTGCCATTCTAGTTGCTAACCCTTTGCTTTAGTTGCAAATTATGTTATTAACGATTTCATACAGAGCATCAAATCACATTTGAAATGTTATTTTAAGATAGATGTTGTAACTGAATAGGTTTAATGTTCCTTCACAGTAGCTAAAGCATTTTAGTGCAAGGTTTATTTGGAAATAGCCCTAATATAGTTGTAGATTTAATAGGTCATCTGATTGTCTGTATTAAGTAAAAATAATGCAATTTAGCAAATACAGAATGAATATTTGAGTGCTAAGTGTCCAAATAGGATATTTCAGAACCATGATTAAGGGATTGAATATTGAAAGAAACCTTTGTATTTACTGTGATAGATACTGTGCATCTATTTGGATCCTGTCTTACAATTCTGTGTTTCTAGCATTGCCATTTGTTCACTCAATTGTTGAAGAAAAAAAGGTTTGTTTCACATGTGTTGTAATAGATTGTTATTTGGTCCAAGTAATAAGCAGGCTGTGAAGTAAATACCTGTGTAAAATCTGAGTGTAAACTGAATGTGACTACAAACATAACCAAAAAACCAGATGCAGATTAAAGTAATATACAAAATCTGAAAGGGCAAGGCAATAGCGAAAGCGTATGAGTGTTAAATAGATACTTTAACACAACTGAATCAGCTTTTTTCACTATGGAGCTGGGAGTGCTAGAATGGATATACATGAATTTTATCTCTTAGCTAGTTTTATAGTTCTAATTTGCTCAAAGAATGCATCAAATCAGATGGTCGTTCAGTTCACACCACTATTAACTATGTTATTGTTAATGAGTGTTGTTAAAAACAATTGCAAGGAGTGGAAATCGTGCATTGCAAGGCTATTTCAAGAAGCATTTCTTTAATTACTTTCCCAGTTTGTGCACTTAAACCATTATGTGGAAAAAAAACTTTTAATTTTTAATTTGCTTTCAGCTATTAGAGATAAAACTATCCAGAAAAGTGCAGTAAAATGAATGAGTCTGATTGAACTTTCAGAAATCTGTTCAGCACGTTATAAAGGTCGAAACTTAACCTTATATATATAATAACACTAACCCTGTTTTCCAATGTGATTTGCTGCGTGCTGACATGTTTTCCATACCTACAAAATCTGCAAAATAAGGAGTACTTAGAAGGTGTGCTAGTTGCCTTGTATTTTATGCAGTGAAACACTTGGAGTACCAAACTCTGATTGGACCTGTGATTTGTATGCATGATCATGAGCTTCCAAGTGGTTTCTCTTACTAAGCCTAGACATGTGGTTCACTGTTATGTCAGAAGCCTGAGCAAGGCTATGTCCCTATTGAATATACTCACTGAATAATGCTTTTATTTGACCAAGAGAACCCTTGATATGAAAAGCAGTGAAAAATCTGATGGAAGAAAAGAGGGAAGATGAATGGGTAGAGTAAGGAGGCCCCATAGCTAGGCCTTACACTTTCCTTCTTAGTTTTATAGTTCTGAATCATTTATTGGATGTGTGTGTGTGGTTTAGTTTAGCAGTTATAGGAAATACATGGATACTATTGCTGGTTACCATGAAGTGCATTGGAAATGTTATTACACCAATGTACTCAGCATGAGGAACACGCAAGAGCAGCTAGAAGTCTTGGCTCAGTCCCAGAGCTGCTACATCCTTGGCATAAGTGAAACCTACTGGGAAGAGTTCTCCTGTGACTGGTGTGTCATGTGGATGGTTCTTGGTGGCAAGTGTCCCTTGGCAGACCAAAGGTTTGGGGGAGATAGAAGTGTAGTGTTAAAATGAAGATTTGTAGTTGCTGTTAGCATTTTTAATACAGTGCTGCAAACACTCAACCTGTATAAGCTGTAATTTGCTTTATCCCCAAGGTAGAAAGGAAACTCTTAGGTACATCTTACTTCTCTCGTTCAGAGATTTGAAGGTTCATCTTTTATTTTATTTTTTTTCAGCTAAAAAAAAAATCGTTTAAATGTCTCTGTGGATAGGTATTCTACCTAGTAAAACTTTTGTGCTGCTAACCATTTTGCAGGTTTCATTAAGAGATCTACTGTTGTATGCTTTTCCAAGCTGTATTGGTTATCGTAAATGTTGAATGTTACAAGATGTTTTCCTAATCCAACATTTCTCAAAAATCTGCAAACAGAGAATGGTTTTTCCCCGTTCAAGTAAATGCTGCCTTTGGTTGGAAAATTCCTGTTGCCCAGCACCTTCTGGATGACCAAAACCACTGTGCAAGCAAGCACAATGTAATTACTTTTGTCAGACAATATCTTGTCCTAAACTTAATCAGCTGAACAGCATCTCTCCCTGCAGGCAGCACATGAGAAGGTACTTCCTTCTGCTTATTTTTAGATCTTGCTTATTGGCAAAATCTTTCCTTTTGCTCAGTGCTGTATTGAATTCCTCCACCTTCCTTTGTCCTCCCGTTTGGACCTCACATCATGTCTCAGACTGGTTCTGCGTTGTTTTTCCAGCAGCATGATGCAGACAGACTGTGGCATGGAAATCAAAGCAGGAGCCTGTTTTCATTCTGTTTAAAGACATATGTTGGCCAGCTTGTGCCACGTTTCCTCTCTTGAATCTAATAGAATGGTGAGCCATGCAAATGGCAGACATCACCGTCACTGGTTGTATGGACCAGGACTGTGACTGAAAGCAGGAATTCACATTCATGTCACACTCCACTGGAGGCTTCAGTGCTGAACAAATGTTCAACTTTCATAGAAGTCAGAATAGTTTGGCCTGGTGTGCTGTGCTGGAGAAAATAGGGAGGGAAACCAGGATCCTTTGCTATCTGTCATCTGACTGTTAGATAATCTGCTCTTGTAGGAGCAGTCAAGGCTTTTTTATCTAATTATATACACATTTAAATATAGAAAAAACCTTCCAGTACACTGAATGTTATATTTAGATTATAAAATCAAACCTGTGGTTATTTGTGAAGACTAGATGCCTCCCAACTCATTTCTGTCTTTTGTCCTTCTTCCTTGACACTGTCATTATATCACTGCCTGTTTAATTTTTCATGGCCTGTATATAACACCACCACTTAGGATAGGAACGAGGAAATGTTGGATATCTTCTGCTTTAAGGGATGTTAAGCAAGTAAAATACAAGTCACCCAAGCAGCTTTCTTGTTAGCTACAAGTGTTGTGTAATTTGATGTTCTTGGTGATGTTGAAGGAGGGTCACTGGAAAGAGTTTACTATGGAAGCTTTCATGTAATTTAAAGCCTCGTGTTCCTTGCGGAGATCCAAGGGAGAGGATGGAATCTGACAGGTTTGGTTTGTTTTTTTTCCATGGTCCCTCTCTATTGTGGACCAAAATCACGTTTCCTGAGGAGCTGCTGACCTGGGACAATATCGGCGTGCTTCCCGACTGATCACTTATTCTGCTTCTTGCTTCCCTTCCTTCCACCCACAGGCTGTGCTGAGAACTTGAGGACTAAGTTATTTAGATCTGATGTGTGATACCAAACAATAAAATGGCTTAGCACAGTACAGTTTTTGCATAAAGTAATTCAAGGGGACTGACTTGAGTACATAAAACGTACAGAAAGTTTAGACAGTATGGTAAGAATGAGTGGAAGGAACATACCAAAATGGCTGTAGAACTTTCCTAAAATGTGTTTTGCACTCTGTCTGATGGAGCTTGCTGTGTCCTTAGAGTTGTGACTGGGAGAAGGCATTTCTGTTACAGCTTAGAGGGCTTTTTTCCTTTGCTGTCTCCGTTTTAAAGAATTTAATTTCAGTTGGGGTGCCCCCTAGAATAACTGAATGCTGTGGTACCGTTTGGTATTTGACATAATTTTGTATGAAAAGATCTCCTCTTTGCACTATTGTAGTAAGACATGTTATAGTTTTAGTATACTTATTGTATTGTATTTAGTATATTTATTGTAGTAAAACATGTTATAAATAGAAGGTGGTTAAATGGCAGATCAGAGCATATTTCAACTGTGGAAGTCGCATTTTAATTATTTCAAAATTGATCTTTATTTTTTCCTGCAAATGATTTGTTCAAATGTGGATGGCCCATGCTGAAAAAGCTGTATGGGCAGCTACTTAAAGCTGTGGGCTCACGGTATGTGCAGGGATGCACATGCGATTTGGTGGTGAACATATTGGGTTGTGTACAAAGGTTTTTTAACAAGACGCAGTTTAGAAATTTGCCAGGATTTGCTGAGACTGCATCCCAAGCATTTCCCTTCTTAATTCACGTAACCCTTTCCAGGATTCAGCTCTCTGGATATCGTTCATAATCTGAGTATCTGAGACTCATTAGGTCCAGATTGCAGAAGGCATGTTGGCTGTGTGGGCTCCATCTGCTTAGCTGATTTTAGGTAAAATGTTGCGTCTGACACAATCTGTACAGTATTTTGGAATAACAGACACTGTGGCAGTATGACCATGAAACATTACTAAAGGTGTATTTTTAAACTACAGGCTGGGCGATGCAGGTTGCTGCCTTTATTTTCATTCAGAGAAAATGGGAAGATGACAAGGGTCACTTTGAAAAAATGCTGCATTATTTCTGTGACATTCATGAGCCACTACAACTCCTCATCTTTCCGGAAGGAACTGATCTCACAGGTAGGATAAATTTGTTGGTTTGTGTTTTGATTGTGATTGATATGGAAATTCCTCTTTATTTGTGGAAATAATTGAAAAAACATCCAAGCTAGGAGCAATACTGCATTCTCTCAGACAGTAGAAAATGTAGTTAACGATCTTGATGTGCTAATATACCCAAGAAACACAGGCATGGTTTCACTAAGGGGTTTAACCAGACTTCCAGAAATAACTGTTAAGTTTCAAAAGCATCCCATAATTGAAAGAGCTTAACATTGGTTAATTCTACCTTTGTACTGTATTGGAAAAATAGTTTACAAGACCTGGAATAAATTACTTTTATGTTCCTATTTTCCATGTGACTGGGATGAACAGTGCAAAATTGTGAAAGGTGATCGAAGATGAGAGCTAATGATTCTATTAGATTTCTGGCTTCATGTTTTAAGAGGAGAAAATGGATATGCTTCTTCATTAGGCCATGTTAGTTGCCTGCATCTGCATCTAAAAGAAAAAATGTTTCCTGAAAACCAATGTCAGTGTTATTGTTGTAATCAATTTAATGAGTTAAATGTTTGCTTAATTCTTAGTAAAAATATCGGTGTTAATGCAGGTGTATTTTACAGCAGCGATAGCAAGCTGCTAACCGCTGTTGAAAAAGACTCAAATGCCAATAAAAGAAAGCATTTTATGAATGTTCTGTGGTTCTTTATGCCTGCAGCACTATCTGATAAGCATCAATTTTAAAACAGAAAACCAATTACAACTAGACTTTTACCTTTTAGCTTATTTTAGATCTTTACTTTCCTTTGCAGCTATTCTCAAATCATGCCTTACCTCAATGTCAGATCAGTAAATACTAGGTACGGTGTGAAAATCCATAATGGAAACTGCTATTTTCTTCATGTTCCCAGTATCCTTAAACACAGATGTGTAATGTTCAGATGGCATCACACTGTGGGGAGTTGTTGTCACTCGATCCTTCTTCCTAAAGGAGGATAGATCATTAAACATTCTTGGGCTGCATCACATGATATCTCTTGCTGAATTAGTAATTGTATCTAAAATTAGGAAGGGGGATGGAAATTATCTTTTTTTTTTTTTTTTTTGAATTAATGACTACCTGTCTTCTGGTTGTTCTGAGTTAGGACAAATTCTTAATCTTACTCAGTGTCAGAAAATGTCTCCTTGGGTCACCCAGGTGTTTCCATTGCAAGACGGTTAAAGAGAATTGGGTTGTTCATAATTTACCCACAAATTATGTATGCCTTCCAATCTCTCCGAGTATTGCTCAGAGACAACAGATTTTAAAGGACTGAAGAAGTTCCTTATTACAGTTTTAAACAAGAACTAGCTGAGGACTAAGGCAGCGGCAGAATGTTAGCAGTTGTGCTGTGGAGTCCCAGAGGCAGTGGTGGGAATGTTCCCCACCCAAACGTGGAGTTCCGTAAGGCAGCAGAGGGTAGTCTCTTCTCCACTGCAATTGGTTATAAACAACTCTGCCTAAATTTAGGTGTATGCCATCAACTCAGAAGTTGATGCAGGTGGGATTCTTCTGTTGCTCTAGTTGTCACTTCTCATGCTCACGTAATGCATGTTCCTCTCACCTTGCAGCATCAAATAGATGTCTGTGCTGTGTTTACTCCATTCTCCTGGTAGCTTCAGCTACCACTAATTGATGGTGCTAATTTCCCCCCAGTCCACTGGGCAGCCCAGGGAGGAAGCAGTGTGGTACTTGTACTTCAAGGGAAAGGAGTATTGCTGGGTGGCCCTTTGCTACTGTAATTCTTATCCTCTCAAGCCACCTGGCAGCGACAGATTTACTCTTCTTGTATAATGTTTTCAAATATTCAAGAATGAAAGATCTAAAGGAAACACAAAGTATATATGGTCTGCTGCCTGAGCTCAAGTTGAGGTACTTTGCGTTGGAAGATGATGCTTAAGTAAGTTTAAAAAGTAGTAATTGAACCCTGAACAATGTGTTTGCAATCTGTGTATGAAGTTGATGATTATTTCTGGTCGGTTGGTCATCTTTTCGCTCTGGAGTGCTTGAAGCTTAAAGCTAAATACACCAAAGGCATTTTATTGTAGTTGTTTAAGAAGTCAGACTTTCTGAAGACTTGAAGAAAACAAACAACTCGTGCAGCCCACCATTTTGCTCATTTTTTTGATGATCTGTGTGAGGCTCTCGTAGTAACTTTCTACAAAGTAGTAAGAGAACAAAAAAAGTTGCTGTACTGTTCTGGGTCTGTTCCGTAGGATCCATTGCCTGTGGATTTGTCTGCATCCCTAAACGTGGTTTCTTCTTTACTTCAGTTTTTCCTTTTTCTTGGGTTTCCTTTCATGTGACATTCCCACAAATCTTTCTTGCTGCTGTTTCTGCAGGAGGCATTATGTGCTGTGGTTCTCCTCTCCAGCAGCCGTGTTAACTGCTGCACGCTGTGCTGAAAGCCCCAACAGGCCCACTGCCTGCGGAGGATATGCCAGCTTTTCCCATTACTAAGATCTCTACTGCTGGCAGTTCCCCTTTGTTCTGCCATTCGTTTTTCTGAAAGCTCTTAGGGCTAAACTATCTATGAATTTCTTCTCTATGCCAAACTGTGATTCCACAGACTTTTTTTTTTTTTTCATAAGAAATAGCTTAAAAACCAAACAAAAGTTGGAAAGTTTGTCGATACCAAAATTTAGGCAGTTGTGATGTGAAACTATTTTATCTAGAAGATAGCATAGTACTGTAGTACTTATCTCCTTTGTAGTAATGTCATGTGCTGGAGTAATGCACAATTACTCAAGACACACTGGTAGAGTTTAAGAGGTAATAGTTTGAAAACAGTACGAGCAAGAACTGCTTAATTTTTTGTTAAAATGGTAACTGTGAGCCAATATAGCTATTATGCTCTCTATGCAAACTTCTGATAAACAGATGAATGAGAAATTGTTTAAAAAAGAGACTTTTGGACTATCCACTTCTTCTTTCTCTGTCTGGTACCGGTGGCATTTGGGAGTACTTGACGCCATGGGAATACTTGTGTGCTTCTATCATAAGCCTGATTAAAGAAAAGGAAGTACATGATATCCAAATTTCAGTGCTAATGAAAAAGGAAGAAAAGAGTTGAGAGTTGTATTGAAGTTGTCTGACTTAGCATTCCAGTAGGATGATGAGGGTAATGTATCGTTCTTTTGAGTGATGTCCAGCAAAATGCATCAGCTGGAAAATGCTGGACGTCAACGCACGTGAACTTGTTCTTTTGAGGTGATTTCATGCTGCTTACGTGTTTTTGGGAAAGCACGGACATACCTCCTTCTTTGGCACAGATTATGGAGCTGTAGTTCCAAATCTTTACATTAGCAAGTGCAGCTCATTACTGTGTTATGGCTCCCTTCAGAGTCAAATTCTGGAGGTTTTTGTTTTAATTCAAAACTGCAGTATAAATTATAATGGTTTTAAAAGATCAGGAGTTTGTTCACTTTTCCTTCTCTGGATTTCATGGGTATAAAGCAGTTCTAAGTTCCTGAAGTTTTATAGCTTGAAGACAAAGGAAACAGATTAACGTAACATCGTCTTCCAGTTCACTTCAAATGAGATTCTGAGATATGGTGCCTCTGTGCTGCTGCTGACGTCTGAGCTTTTCCAGCAGTAATGCAGTTAATGGGACTTCCCAACATAAATTTTGAGATAAGTGGAGGAAAAATTGCATGATTTGACAAGTGCCCTGCAGCAGTGTGTAAAGGCCTCAGGTAAATGGGTCTTCTTGTGCTTGCCACCTGCCCTCCGAGTAGTTGCATGGATCATCTGAGACACTGGAACAGAAACAAACACAACTAGTAAATGTTACCTTGTGAAATAATTGCTAGCCCATATGACAGGACTTAAATGAGGATGTAGGGAGGTTTTGTATATAGCTATATAGGAATGTAGGAGGTTTGTATATAGCTATTCTAATAGGGGTTACATCTGGCTGATAGAAGATCTGTTTGTGAAAACTAACATTGTTTGCCATTATTTACCTACATCATCTGAAGTTCTTTCTTCAACAATTTAGGGTTTGATACAGTCCTAGTTGGGTGTCTCTTAAAGGTGCACATAGCATAACCTTACCATGAGAATGAATACCTTACTGGACGTTTATTGCCTTTATAATTAGTACTCCTTTTGAAATCCATGTATGAAGTTTTTTCATAAGAATAGATCATTTAACCTATTCCTTCTTATTGGAACCAAGGCGTTAAAATAAAATGCAAAATTCATCTAATAGGAATGATGAGTGAAAGCTTAGGAGGTAGATTTACTTCGGCTTAATTCTTAATTGCAGAGGAAAAAGTGGAAATATTTGTTTATAGAAAGGAATATGTTTTGTGTGTGTGTGTGTGTGTGTGTGTGTGTGTGTGTGTGAGCAAGAGGGAGCGTTACCTTTTTCCAGATGATGTGAGTGGCGTTTTGGGACTGGGAAGACCTGAACCAAGTTCAGTTGCGGTCCCTGCTCCAAGTGCTCCTTTATGCAGCTCGGATTACACTTGCATTTCCCCTTTTTAAGGAAGTGTCTTCATTAACAGGCTTGCGAAGGCATCCTACAGTTTTATTTCTTCTTCTTGCTTCCACCTACAAATATTACAAGTTTGCCTGCAGAATAATGAATCACCCACGCAAGTTCTGCAGTGTTGACTGCTGACTAAGGGGTTTTATAGGAGGTGACTGTTGTGTAAATTCACTTAGGCTGGAGAGGATATAAAATAAATGTATTTTTAATTTCCTGCATCATTTTTTTTAACCTCTGAGTTTCATGTAATATGGAACATCCAATTTTCTGGCTTTTGTTGAACTTTGTACTAAGCAGGAGATTTGTTCTGACTTTCACTCAGAAGGTTTAAGCACAGGTGTCTCATGCAGGGATTGCAAGCAGCAGCATGCACTGAGATGTTTGCATCAGATAATGTAGCAATCAGTGCATTTATGCAGAAATAATATCAAAATAACATACTGTTTTTTTTTTTTTTTTAAATGCCAAGAGAGGCAGGATGGGGAGGAAGAGTGTGATGCTTACTTTGTGGTATAGTGGAAGTCTATCCTGCGCTTTCAGGATAGCATCAAAACCCCTTTGACCTCCTTAACTTGCTGTATTACAGTATTGTAATAATAAATATAATGCAAAAAGGCCCGTGGCTTGATAGATGTTACAAATTGCAGAGGAAAATATTTCTTCCAGAAGAGAATGATCATTGTGTTAGCTGTGTCACTTTGCTTCTAAAAGCCCATTACACTAGGCTCATGAAAAGGAGGATGGAACAATCCATTATATAAATCTTACAGTCCAGAGACAAGAGGGGCACAAACAAATGGAATATAAGGAAATAGCTGATGAGTGTTGGCTGGAGCACCAGTGTCCAGCTGTTCACATTTTTAGAAAGGCATTGTAGTAAATGGAAATTAAGAAGATGCTTTGCAGATGTTTACAGTGGAATCTTTCCAAGTACAAGGAGGTGAGTGTGAGTTTTATTTCAACGCAGTGAACAGCAGAGGTTCTAACTATTTTGACAGGGTAAAGAAAAATAAGCTGCCTATTTACTCATTGTTTTGTATGTTGTGCAAGTAGAAGTGTTCAGCAGACAGAACTTGTTTTCGTGCTGCCCTTTGTAACACAAGTGCTAGTGAGCAGGCATATAGAGGAGTAGTTTCTGGGTGCACACAAACACTGTGCAGTTTAAGATGCTTAAGGTTTTGATTGTTTTAAACTGCTCAGCTAATGTGGAATTGCATAGCACTTTTGTCTCAAAGCTTTGACCCGATTTGCAGATTTGAAATCTTAATTTGCATATGCAGAAAATGAAATAGAAGCTTATAGTGTCTTTTGGAAGAAACAGCACAGTAGCTTAAAAACTTTGTGATAAACTGTTTTTAAGCACATTACTTGAATCATCACAGAATTTGGAAAAGAGCTTTAGAGCTTTTGACTTGGGTATTTTTTAGAGGAAACCTAGTGGTCATTGTCCTAATAGTACAATACAGTTATGGCTGTAAGATAGAACCCAGCTTTTCAGATGAACATTTAATACTTAGGGGATTATTCTTCTCTGCCATTCCAAGCCTTGCTTATGACTCATTTTTCAAGTTTTGCCACAACAGAGGCAAGGATCCTACAGGCAAGTTCCCTTCACTGATTCACAATAGTCTATTTTCAACACTGAAATAGCAGTCTAGCAGTCAAAAATAGGTACTCCAGTCACGAGAGCCATCATACATATGCTCAGGGAAAGATGAGTTTAAGTTATGTAGCCAAATGTAATTTTAGAATTTCAGACATTCTATGATTTTTACAACACTGCTGTAAGATGTAATATTTTCAATTATCCGTAGATTTTGACAACTTGGCAGGAAGTAAATCTTTGGCTGTTCCTTGTTGAACCATTTGGCTACTGTGCAGTAATAATTTCCTTTCCTCCAAGTCACAAGGTCAGGAGATGTTGTGCAGTAAATCTTGAGGAGTACAGGTCTGTAAGGCGTGTAGGTAACATGTTACCTTATACAGGTAACAATAGGCCACAGTGGAAAAGTACCTCGTGATACTAATATGATATAGCACTTACTGATACATAGCTGATAAATAGTGGAATACTGATAAATAGTGAAGGAGAGACCCACATTGGCTGATAAACGATGAGCTCGTGCAGTTTAGAAATTAGAAAGATGTATACATGCAAAAAAGGCATCTGTACTACTGTGCTGATTTGTCAGCGTGTTCTGTTGCCCCTTTATAGGGTGAAGTTTTGAGTGTAAGGCAGAGAACTTGCCTATATGTAGCAGTTCTGTTAAATTATTAAGCATTGGTATGATTTTCCAGTAGTTTATCTCTCATCTCTGGTAAGGTTAACTGTGGGCACTTAGAAAAATGAGCTGTTTCTGCTTGAGAAAGATTATGAATTGCTTAGGCAATGATTTTCTTCCACAGATGTGTGCTAGGATTTCATCTTCTAAAACACCATGTGGGACTCTATAAATACTAGTTCTTTAATATGTTAGTTATGTAAAATGATTTCTTGTTGCCATGGTAAAATTCTGAGTCCTTTGCCTTTTGGCCCAAAGCGAGGTGCAGAAGTACCTACAGCAAAGGGTAAGCGCAGCCCCCAAGGCTGTTGGACTTCTGCTTTCAAGTTGCCTACGTGTGGGAGAGAACAAATTGCTGCTTCTCCACTTGTTCTGAGGAGTTTCCACTGTATCGACCTCTCTCTCCCTTAGTGGGCTCTGTTAGCAATTGGCTCTTAAAACTTCGGTTTGCTCTGGGTAGAATTCTTTCTGCCAGAGTTTTGATTTGGTGAAGCTGCACCAGTACTTGATATTGTGTTCAGTTTTGGGCCTGTCACTGCAACAAAGACATTGAAGCCCTGGATAGTATCCAAAGAAGGGCAGCGAAGCTGTGAAGGGTCTGGAGCATAAGTCTTACAGGGAGCAACTGAGAGAGCTGGGATTGTTTGGTCTGGGGAAGAGGAGTCTCGGGGGAAATCGTATGGCTCTCTACATGCCTGAAGGGAGGTTGTGGCAAGGTGGGAGTTGGCTCTTCTCCCAGGTAATAGAGGTAGGATGATAGGATGGCTTTGAGTTGCTCCAGGGGAGACTCAGATTGGATAAGAAGAAACATTTCTTCTCAAAAAGAGAAGCAAGGATCAGGCTGCCCTGGGAGGTGGTAGAGTCACTGTCCCCAGAGGTGTTCAGGAACCATGGAGATGCGGCACTGAGGGACGTGGTGAGTGAACATGGTGAGGATGGGCTGGTGGTTGGAATTAGTGGTCTTAATGGTGTTTTCCAACCCTAATGATTCTATGAAATCCATGTGTCCTGGGGTTTGGCCTGGTGGCCTTCCAGGTCCTAGCCAGTTCTGTGTCTGGCAACAACCTCATGTTGTGATATTGGGCACTAGGTCAGAAAGTTTAAAATGGGGAATGTATGTGTAGAGCAGATTGATGAATAACGTGTACCATGTTCAAAATGAAGAACTAGAATACTGCTTCAATGTATTTGATTAACTATTTTTTTCTGCTTAATGTTTTCTTTACAAAATAAGTTTTACATGGTTAAGCTGATATAAAATCAAACCTGCATTACTATACATCATGTTGTTTTTTTTTAATTTAAAAAAATGCTAGTGAACTCATTAATACATTTTACTTTAAAAATGGGTATTGAAGTATCTGAAGAACTACTAAACTTCAGTTTCTAGATTTCAGGTTGCATTTGATAAATATGAAGGATTTGCTGAGTGTTTTCTTAGAAGAAATGAGCAAGTAGGAAGGCTGTTTTTGCAATAGACATTGTTCTTTATCATGCCACAAAATATATACATCATATAAATATATATATATATATTTATATGTATATATGTATAACCAAAAGCATCTTGCAGTTGGCCCCCAACTGAAAAGCTGTTGTACATTTGTGCTGTGTGAATTGTTTTTCTACTTGTTTTCCTAACGTATCATGATTATTCTTGCTCTACATGCACATTCATAGAAAATTGTGCTTTTTTATTGTCTCCTCCAGCCAATACCAAAGCTCGCAGTAATGACTTTGCTGAAAAGAATGGGCTTCGAAAATATGAGTATGTCTTACATCCACGGACTACAGGATTCACTTTTGTGGTGGAATGTCTAAGGGAAGGTAATCCTGCTCTCCATTTCTACATACATTTTTGTCTTGAATATACCTCTCTCCCCAAAATGGTGGAAGTCAATCTTCACAAAGCTTGAAGTGTTTCCAGAGATACTTAACGTACGCTGATTACCAAAAAGGTCTTGCTTGCCATTGTACTTAAAATGATAGTAACATGGATAGATTTGAGAGAGTTGATATGGAATACTGAAGAGGCATAATGAATGACAACAACAACATTTTTGCATTTTTTTTTCTCAAATACTGTTGCTTGCTTGTCAGTCTACTTCAAGAAAATAGTGGAAAAGGTCCCAAGGTATTTCAGCCTTATTGTCCGTGCCAGTCCTTAACCTTCATGGGGTTGACACTGAACACACAGACGTGTATTTCAAAAGCTGCCGTGTTCAGCTGTGAAAAAATTGCTGTGTTCAGTGAACATGGGAAATGCTCAGCAACATGCAGATGCAGCAAATCAGCTGCCCAATGTTGTCAGCTTTTCCAGGCAGTGCTGATTTGGAGAAGCTGTGTAAAACATGAATTATGTTGCTTGGCATGGTCAGTGGGTGAGAGAACGTGCGGTGCTCGCTTTTTAGCTAGAAATGATCTTCCATTCTTGTATTAATCTGGTGTTAAGAGACTGATTCCGTATTGTCAGGGGAACAGAGTATAGAGATGCGATGGCTTGTTAGAATGAAACATCTGGGGGATGTTTTGGAAATGGGCATTTTGATGAGATTTCTGCCAGGCTTTAGGCCATAATGGTGTAATCGCTGTAATAACACTGATATGGCAGTGATTCAGATGCAAATGAGTGAATGTTCTCAGGATGTATGAATGTATGATTGAAGAAAATAAACGTGTACAGTAAATGTAAAGTGACTTATTTATAGGCTAGTTCTTCTGGAATAAGCAATTCCAGATCTTTAACACATGTTGGTTATTCTGTCTGCCAAAGGGAGAAGTTTGAGATTATTAAAAAGAATGAGGTCCTGATGGTAGGTTTTTTTTTTTTTTTCACTTGCTGGAATCCTTGCTTGGATTTTAAAAGCAGAGCTGACTTGCATTTTGCCTGATTTCTACTTGAGCAGAAGCAATATAAACACAGCTAATATTCAATAACTTGTCTGACTGGATATCTTCATAAAGAATTGTGTATCTGTATGGCCATATATTTAGCCAGCAGTTTGTGTTGGACATCTTAGATTTTCACATATCTTGAAAGTTTATTATTCATTTTGCTGTAGTGAAAAATGATACGTGAAATTTCAAGACGTGTTTTACTGGGAACTTTTCAACATTAGGTTAACCTGGTTGTCAACAGTTTACGGGCTGGTTTGGCCCGGTTCCGTGACCAGCGGGGCGGAGGGATTTCACAAAATCTGCACCTCTGGAAAAGGGAAACAGGGGACCCCAAAATAATTAAAAACAGCAGCAATCTGAGGAGAAACAAACTAATTTACTAAATGTAGTATCAGCAAAATATAGTCTCACCACAACGCTGAGGTGAGAAGTGCAGTCCAGTTGAGCCGATGAAGAAGAGCCGATGCAGGCGAAGAAGAGAGCATCAGGTGACCTTGCCAGGAGTTGTGTCTCCTCGCTGACTGCGAAGCCCCTGGGGAACGTAGCTGTTCTTCTCCTGTGGACAGGCACCCGGAACTTGAGCATCAGCAGTCAAACCCCCAGTGCATTACATGATGTTATGGTGTGGAATACTGATAACCCAAATCATAAAACCATGGCATAGTGCGTAATGGTAATTCTAGCCTGGAATAAATTTTCAGTTAAAGAAACGTTCTCAACCTGGAATGTTATCAACTTAACAAATGATAGATGCTGTAATTACCTCAGAAATGAGCTTCACAGTTGTACGGTCATTTTCTAATTTTTTTCTCTCGTGCTCTTTTATAAAAGGTCTATGCAAATTAGATAGATGTTGGGTTATAAAAATGGCAATATTTAAAGGCAATTAGCTAATTTTACACCGCACCAAGCTAGGGAAAATACCAGAAACATTTCTAGATATTTTTTTTAAGCTTTCAGATCTTTAAGTCCTACTTTTATTTAAGTCAAGCAGATATTACATGAAATATTAACGTACTTCCAGTGTTTGGTACATTGCTAGGCATTGTATGCTACATACACGATGACTGTGGGTTATTATGTAGTATTGTATGAGTGAGAAGGTAGTTCAACCAGCATTTTCAAATACTAAGTTATCACTTCCTCATGTAAGACTTTTTCTGTTGTTGCAAGTGTGCTAAATATGGAACATTTGTGTGGAAATATTTTAATGGACAACCAACCTGTAGCTGCTTTACGAGAGCATTGCAGAGTATTACGTATCTGCATGCCTTCATCATTTTGTATGTGAAATATTGATGTCCAGGTGGATTTTCAGATCCAAATGGCGCATTTGATACCAAACATTACCATGCAGTTCTGGTTTGACTCATCTTTACTGTTTTCTTACAATTCTAATTTCTGATACCAGCAATGATAAAGAAAACCAGGAGTGGTAAGGGTAGGGTGTTAACACTGTATCTGTGTCTCAGGAATGTCACTGTGCTACAGTAGTACCAGTAATCATAAAAATAGTGTTGTTTCCTTTTTACTGGTTGTAATGGCCAGCAGAAGATGGTGTGTGTGGCTTTAACACTGAGAAGGGAGTGGTGGAGACTTTAACATCATATTTACATGTTTGGAAGTATCTTTGTGCGTAGATGACAACCTTATTGCCCTACAGCTCTACTGTGAATACATTCTGGCTTGTGGCTGTTTTCCATTCCCAAAGCTCGGGTGTCTACTTCAGGCCTTCACTCCCAAAATAGGCTGATGAAGTGAGGGGGAAAAATGTCATTAGTAGTTTAACTGCATTTTGAATGTTGAAAGAAACTGTAATTATGCAAGAACACTGATTAATATGCATCATGAGCTATAGCGTGAAAGAATTACCTGTTATTACATAAAATAAGTGACCCATCTGAATAGGAAATGAAAAAATAACCTTCAGCTAAATGTGGCTTGTATCTCTACGGGAGAGCTTCTTCCTGGAGGAGGCACTATCTGCATGCTGACAGTATAATCCTAGCAGTTACCAGTCCTTGGCTTTCCACAGGTAGCACAACCTCCTGAACCACCTGGATGGATTTTTGCCAGTGATGACCAGCGCACAAATTCCTGTGACCACCTTCTTGCTCTTGTACGGTCATTAGTTCAACTACTTGATCTCTTTTGCCCAGAGATGCTGCTAAGGTGTCATTTCTAAGATTAAAGAAGCTTAAAAAAAATAAATCTATTTAGCCTCCACCAAACAGGCTGGCAATAAAAATAGTTCAGGCAGTGCATTTCTTCCTTGGCTTTTGACTCCCTCTTTTTCATTTATTTGCTTCCCCCCCACCCCACCATATCCTAGCTCTCTGTAAGTGGTGGTGCTTATCTCCCTGCACTAAATCTTTTAAACGGAAACCCAGGTAAAAGCTGACTGTGTTTTCTTTTGATTGTGCTCAGGTGCCACAATAGTGAAAATATGTGCAGGTAAAGGTCATACTACAGGTTTTCATTGATATAAACCAAAGAACCACCCAAGAGTGAGCACAGAATGATGAACGTGCTTTATATGGGTAATTAATAATGTACTGAGTAGAACAAGGACTACAGTTGTTGCTGTTTTTTAAGCAAGAGAAAGACATAATTTTGATTCAGCATTGATTTTTTTTTTTTAAGTGCGTTCCTTTGGCTCAATAGTAAATTTAAATAGGATGATTTAGTATGGTGTTGTTTGTGTGGTAAGAGAAGATGCTGTGTGGACATGTGAAGGTGAAAAGACCACATGGTTGTTGCGTAAGGACAGTTTGCCGCCTGATAATGTAGTATAGTAGTGTGTTACCTACGATGTGGGAGGTGAATAAGAGAAAAACAAATTTCAGTAAGGATTACTGGAGATGGAGAGGCATTAAATACACCTAGGCTAAATATAGAGTAACAAAATATATGCATTTTTCACCCATGTGAGCTGTTCCTTCATGGGAACAGTTATTGAATTTCTATTTGCAGGTTTGTGAGCTACTTCATTAATCTTTACTGATGCACGTTGCTCAGAATAGTGCCAGCCTTTTATTCCTTCTGTGCTTCTCTGTCCTTTGTCTATCAAAATACTTAAATTTTATGAACTCGCTGAATTCTACACTTTGTCAGCACTGAAGCCCATTAGTTTAGTTGTCATGGCAGCCAGAGGAATTATCCTGTGGAAGCCCAAAGCGCGTTTGACCAAAATGACTTCTGCGATCCCATATACTTTATTCACATCAGCTTAGTTGGCTATTGATAGGAAGCAAAGAGAAATGAAATAGTTGATTTGCTGCTTTCCAACTCTTTTCACATGATTAAGTGTATCATTTGTCTTGCCTCAGCTGTTATGAATCCCAGTTTCAATGAGCACCTGGTAAAAAATTATTAGTGCTTTCCACTGTATTTCCTTGGATAACAAAGGGGAGTGTTTTTGGAAAGACAGTCACAGCATGTTTTGATATGAATAAGCAGTGAAAAATGAATTCTATACACCAGAATGAAGATTGGTCGTAATTTTATATAATAAAATAAATAATTGTTATGCACCGCTCTTTAACGGTCACCTTAATTCATATCAAATCCTTTCAGACTTGAGCCTTGGAATAGATGCTGTGTGTGGAGTCATTTTTGGCAGAGTTCAGCTTAATGGAAATCATCCCCTTTTATAACCTGTGCAATCTTGAAAATGACAGAAATAAGCAGGAATTTAAATGAGACGTTTATAAAGCATTCCTTTAACGAAGTTAATGAAAAACATTTCTGGTTTATATAATGCTCTTGGTTTACATAATGCTCTTGACGATCTGGTTTGTCAGAGATCAGAGATCCTTCTCTGGAAGGTCAGGAAGTTACCCAGAAATTGAGTGTAGGTTTTCAGACCTCGTTGCATTTTATAAAGTTTTCCTGAAGTGCCAAATGACACTGAACGTTCATATGGCTCG